CTTCCTCTATAGGTTAAATAGAGTTCAATTTCCTGAAGGTTACTTGCATGAATAGATACTTGAAGAAAGCCAGAAGACATAATGGCTGAAATATTTTGATGAGAACATTTGAAATAATATGATCCATGATGGCTCCTCATCCTAGAAATTCAAACGGTAGTTATTTATGATTTAATCACAATTTTAAATTCTGAAGGCACCAGAAGGACAAAAGGTGCTGCTAAAAGTTATTCAAGTTTCTCCTTTCTGGAGATTAAAATATGATAAATTCTGTTAAAATTTAACATTCAACCATAAAAATGTTTCATTTTGATATTTGACCATGGAAACAAGTATGACTTCTACATACTAGTTATACAGCAGCATTTGTAATTAGTCAGTCACAATTGCAATAGTAAATAAAGTTCCAATAATTTTAGTAAAATTTAAAGCTGCAATTTATATTTCTACAACAAAGATATAAAGGTGTTAAGTTGATTTTTATATGGATGAATCAGTCTATAGTAAACAATCTTATTAATTTGAAATGCTTAAAGAAATGGATAAGTGTCTAATATAAAGATAGTACACTCATTTTAGTAAATACTATTTACTCACAGTTTTACAGAGAAAAAGAAGTACAAGTAAGTATTGACTTAGAGATTCTGTCATGTATTTTTTAGTTGTCTGACTTTTCATCTAGACAATTTGCTTTGCTTGAGAAAATCGTGTTGTGTGACATAGATTTGTGTAGATGAGCTGGCATTTTTTTTAGTTGGTTGAATATGATCTGTTGCAAAGTGTTGCATATATTTTGAAGGTATAAAAACTCAATAGTTTTTGTATTTACTTAAACCAATTGTAATTGGTTAAAAATTCTCTTTTTATACCTCACTGCCTATTTTCTATTACATCTGCAAATTTCTAATCTTATTTTTACTTTTGGATGCTTTTCCTGCAACCGTTTATATATATATATATATATATATATATATATATAATTAATACAAGTAAAAGTTTTGTCACTTAGCTGATTGGTGTTACCTTCAGTATCCCGATTCCAGAGTTTCATAGATGAGCGCAAACTCTCCAGGAATCACTCTATTATCCACTAGTCAGGGGGTATCAGCAATATATATATATATATATATATATAGTCTTTCCTGTTTTTTTCAACATATGAGGGTCTCATAGGCCAGTTCTTAGAACTGAATGGACAGACTACTTGCATATATGATTTGATTATACTGGTGAAGGTTTGTTCAGAATCAACCAGACTTTTTTTGGAAGAGCCGAATACAAGGAATTGGTGCATATAGTGTGGCACAAGGTCACCAAATGCCCTCTCTCAGGTTTTGAATTCAGAGTTGTCATTCTAGACTGTTTGCCACTGAATGCTATAGGAACCAGTCTGTTCTGATATTTACCCATAGCTGGGGGAGGGGAGAAGAAATGGTTTCATACCCTTCCCCAAGAATATTTGCATGCAAGTGAATGTAACAAACCTGACTGGAATTCAAACTTAGCTCACCAATTACTTAGTCTGAGCTGCTAATCCATTACTCCAATTTAATATATATATATATATATATATATATATATATATATATGTGTGTTATATAAAAAAAAATATTGATCTATTTGTATGGCTTTTTTATATGCTTCTGAAATCTTTACACACTAGCTATGTTAGTTATTAAACTAGTTCAGTGCCTGTTGCTTTATTCATGGGCCAGATGATCAAATTCCAAACCTAAATTATTTATCCATTTAAAATAGTACATTTATTAGAAAATATACTGAATTTAAATACAGGAGTTATAAAAATAACTTCAATGGTGGTGTTGTCAGACAGAAAGGGAAATTAGTACTTACAACACAGATGTCCATTTTAGTTTCATTGAAATTGTGTATATGCACATTTGCCTATGTGCATGCATATTTTCATTCAATGGTAGACCTAAAAGTTTTTTACAATTTTTTAAGAAATTTACTAAATAATTCTATCTATTACCAAATAATTTTGTAAAAATTTAGTGTTATCTTAGAATTATCTGATTTTAGGGTTTTTAAAAAAGTTTTTTTTTCTCGTCTGCGTCTTTCTGATTTTATTGCTCAATCTAGGGTAGGGATTGTCTAGACTGAATGGGAGGGAAATTTAATGTCTTATTTCAAACTCAGTCAAATTGTGCATGCATAAATGTATGCGATTGTGTATACATTGAATGGTATAAAACAGACATGCATATAGATTAGATACGAGGATGTAAAATCACACGCAGACAGTGTGTGACGTAAAGAGAGTCGGTTCTTCTTTCATGGTATAGATTTTGAATACTGCTCCCTCAACATAGCCTTGACAAAAGAAAAAACACTATTACCTCCCTTACATTATTCTTTAACTCTTATTTGCTAGTTTCTCTAGCCTTTATTACAACTGTCAACATTTCTTGTTCGTCTTTTTTTGAGGCATTTCTCCTCAAACATGTTGGATGTTTTAAAAAACAAAATTCATTATGTTCCTAACTTGGTCTTTATTATATAGTAAATGTGGTTTGACTGATTTAACAAAATTATTTCTTCAAACTCTTTTTCACAAATGAAAGTTTATATTGCAAAAAAAATGTTTTCAAACTATGGGTGTTTAACTGTTTATCACCAAAAAATTTTTCTCTTGCAAGTTATTACGTCATTACAATCTAAACAATTTTTCAAATTTTTTATATCAATCAATTCTTTCTTTTTGCAAATGACAGAAAGAATATGCCGAGAAAAATAGGCTAGTAGATTAACGAACGCGTCGTTTTGTGAATTTAGAAACAGAAATTGTGAGTTTAATAAAAAAATCCCTGGCTGGGTAGTGCATGCTGACTACGTGAAATAAAACGAGCAATAACGAGATATTAATTAGACTTTGACAGCAGAACGAAAACAACCTACGGTACCCCTGTAAAGATTGACTTTTAAAAAGTGTTTTTAATTTGAAATTCCTTGAAACCTGGATCGACGAGCAAGCATCTGACGAAGTCCGTAGGGCACAACAACCGAAACGTTGTGATAACAACAAAGACGGGGACACTATGAGTGTAAAAAATAATTTTAAAAAAATATATAAAATTGACATTTTTAGGACATTTTTTCTATAGCTTTCTATCAAATGTATTCGAGGTAAATAAAATGTGTAGAAATGAACACATTTTCGTGGTTAAATTTCGAAATGAAATTTTTTAAAAAGTTTTGTTTTGAATATTAAATTCTAGCATCTTTCAATCCCTGGACAAGCCAAAAACATACACGGAAAGCTTTTAAAAAGGCAAACTGTTTTTTTTAGACGTTTTCGACTTTCAGTGTTTAAAATAAAAAAAAATAAACTAAAAAAAAAAAGTATTTCAATTCACGTATTTTACAACGCATCAACCAATAATAAATTGTTCTTTTTTTAAGTAACTGCTTTTGCAGAAATGCTTTTGCCTTTTTTTTAAGTGACATTTGATTTAAAAGATTTTTTTTTCAAGAATTGACAATTATCAGTGAACTAAACTTGCCAACAGTACAACTTATGGTAAGATTACTTCCCCACAAAAGAAGAGAGACACATAAATCATTTTCAATGCTGATCAGATTTTTTTTAAATATTCATTTTTATAAACAAAAACAAAAAACGACATTTTCACTTGTCATTTAATTTAAAGTTTTTTTTTTATTGACAATCAAATCAAAAGTTAATGATTTTTTTTTTATTAAAGATCTTTTTTTTTGAAAATATTTTGGCAACATTTTTGATCTTTTGAACCTTTTATGATGAGTAAATGTAAACAAAAACAAAAAAATGTTCGTTAAAAAAAAAATAAAAATATGCTCAACAAACCATTTTGCAAAAGGAACATTTTTGTGTGAGTCCTTAATAATGAATCATATCATTAATAAACTCAAGTTCAAGTACCAACTTGTTTTTGTTATTAAAAAAAAAAAATAATTCAACATGTTTTGATTTTTCCCTGTCGTAAAAACATTAAGGATTCTCACCGTAAATGACATACGACACTCCTAAATCTTTTGTTTTTAAGCTAAAATTATCTCTCGGGTCTCATGTGAATTTGAGGTCTCTGTGGGCAAAGTAATGTTTACGCAAACTCCAGAAATAAGAGGAGATGGTCCTATATGTCATCATACGCTCGCTAAGCAATGGGAGAAATAATTTTCCATCTTCTTGAGAGGACAACTGATAATTCCCACATCTTTACTCCCTACGTAGTTGTGTTCTAAATCTGAACTTTTTTATATTGTTTTCTTTTTCTGCTATTAGTTTTTTTTTAATTTTTTTTTCTACATAAACTAGAAAATAATGCCAAACAAAAGTTATAAAAGTCACATTTTAATCCTTGAATCAAGAAAAGGATTTAAAACCCCGAATGAGTACAAGAGAAATTCATTTGTTTGTATTACCGGATTATATAGGCACGTAAAAGTAACATTAGAAACAAAGTTGTCAAAAAATTAACCCTTTTCCTTAATTAAAAAAAAAGTCATTTTTATTAGAGAATCAAACTTTTGTATTTTAAAATTTAAAAAAATAAAAATGTAAAAATGTTTGCAAATGTATGAAATTTAAATTAGAAATAATTTTATTTTTAAATTTTAAAAACTGTTTAGTTTCTTTCGTTTCCACCTACGCCTCGAAAATAAAAAAAAATGAAAAAAAAAAAAAAAAACCGCACCCAAGTCTTTTTATTCATCGTGGGGAAAATAATAGTTTCAATTTTTAAACGGAGAAAATGACAAAATAATTTCAGAATTTCCTTTATAATTTTTGATTTTTTTTTTTTCGTTTGTTTTTAAAGTTGAATAAGTGAAAAGTTTACTAAGTCGCAAATATTAAAAAAATCTTAAAAACTTGGAGACACGGTTCCAGTATTTGCGGAAAAAAGAAGATTCCTGCTATCATTGTAAGATGATTAAATAAAAAAAAAAACGATAAATATTTAAGAACTGAATGAAAACGGAATATTTAACTTATTTACCATTTGTGATGTATCACTTTGCAAAGAAAGAAAGAAAACCAGATCCAACGAGCGACTGAAAAAGTCTTTTAAAAAAAAAAAAAAGAGAAGAAAGACGGTGTTGGCTCAAAATTAACCCTCGCAAAATAAACATTGGTTAATACTTGAGTTGTGTCATCTCGTCCTGACACAGCTGTTCTTTCTCTTTCTCTATCACGCCCTCTATTTTGGCTACTAAGCAAAAGTAAGATTTCTGCTATGCTATATTTAATATGAGACGTATGAATATTTATTTTTTTAACTTTTAAAAAAATAGATATGTATTTAAGTTTCTCTTGTCAGGAAGAAAATAGAAATAGGTAACGAATGTTACCAACCTGGTACTAAGTGGTGTAGCTGTAATAATTGTATTACAATAGTACATATAGTTTTTTTTTTTTTTTTTTTTTTTTAACGAGGGTCGGTGCGTACTACCCACCGACCTGGGAGGGTATCAAATCTGATAAGGGGCCCCAGGCAGTGCTTTGTGACCCGTTCTCTGATCTGCTATCATATCAGCATTTGTTTTGTTGGTTTTTTTTCTATCTACTTACTTTTTGACTTTTTGTAAAATAATTGATTTCCCGTGTCATAATTCAATGAACTTTTGCTAACAAATAATGAAGAATAGTTTAATTAATTCAAAAATTTAAAAAAAAATCTATATTCAATTAAATTGTTAGCAAATTGAAAAATAATGCTTTTGAAATATTTTTTATTTTTTATTTTTACTCTTCGTATTGCATATATAGTAAAACTGAATTTTCGGTTTGGAGATAACATTTTTCAGTAAATTAATGCCTTTTCCATTATTTTTAAACAAAAGTTCATTGATTTATGACATAATATAGAATTACAAAAAAAATTGTTACCCTAACCTACATATATATACATTACAAGTTAAACTAAGAAGCACACAACTGGCTATTAAAGGATGAAAAATTTTTGCATATTTTTATGTCATTCTGGGGATCTTTTTTTTGTTGAAGTCAGTTAATTTGCTTTACTCATGCTAAATCATGAAAAAACACTATATAAAATTCACTATTTTTTATACATATCATGAAAAATGTCAAGTTTATGTTAAAATTTGTTGCAAAACATTGTTGATTTATTATGACATGTCTTTAATTTGTATTTAGATTCATTTTATTTATTTAAAATTTTTCTAATTGAATTGTTCACCTACTTTGCATATGATCCATTATTGTACATAATTAGGTTACAATAAAATTTGTATTTTATATGAATACTACCTTATGAAAATTGAGATGTGGTAGAGTGGGAGACCCATATCATAGATTGGGAGGGTTGTCACAAGGCCCTTGTAAAGGGCCTGATTTTGACACTTGTTAAAATCTTTCAACATAAATTTATTTTATCATCAAATATTATTTTTTTAAAATGACAACTAAAGATGAAATCTGACAACAGTATTACAGTTATACTTTGTTAGCACCAGATAACCTTGCTTGTTACAATAGTTTCCAAGACCATTAAAAAGGTTATTCAAAACAAATTATAGCATAACAGCCAATTTTAACACAATGTTTCATCTCTTAAAATGTTTCACTGAAGTGAAGTGTTTTAAGAAAAATTAAGAAAAAATAATCACTTACATAACTGTGTTTTTTACTGCGTATCATTTTGAAGATAAATCCCCTGCCATTGTTAGTCAGTTTAAGCCTCACTGGGAGTCCTATAATTGTAGCCTTGTACCACACAATGCTAATAAGTTTGCTTGATGGGTTAGATAATTTCCTGTTGATAACAATGTTTGGTTTTCTTGTGCAAACTGAAAATGAAATTTCAAGGCTGGCAAGCCTTCCCCTCATTAGTATGCAGAAATGGGGCATCCATATCAGGAGGGCATCCAAACAAAGAGTGAAATAAAAATTTAGTTTATATATAAGTTGAATAAATTTAATTTTTTTACATATTTAAAATGTTTTCCTTTCTCACATTTTTCAGTACTAGGTCCTATAGGACCCTCACTATTTGAGCCTTAGGGGTATAAAATCAAGGAGTTGGCCCCTGGGCATCATCAAACCTCTGCATATCACTGCTTCCCCTATTTCGAAAATTGGCATCTACCTAAATTCATGCCTTGTCTTTCTAATACACTATGCTTAACTTAGTAAATATCCATATTATTTTGGAGTCAAACTGATTACAAAATGATGAATTAAATGAGTTTTTATGGAATTATGATAATAACAAAGGTAAATTTTAGTCATAAGCTTGGTAAAATTGTGTAGATAGGGTTATGAGTTCAATCACTAGGAGAGGTACAAAAAAAATCATGGATGAAAATTGTAGTGATATGCATATGACCGCCTAATTAGCATAGCTGAATCATAGACTATATAAATACCCTATAAATAGGTAGAACAGCTCTCGGTATGTGAGATAAATGACTACTGCTGGACTGATAAAATACAAAGAAAACACACTTCATAACAAAAATGGTATATCCAACTGAGAAAAATGATGCATTACTATTTAAACTTCGTTAAGATTATTGGACACAATATATACAAAAATTTGAAAGTTTTACAGATGAAAACATTGTAATGAAAACAATCAAGATAAGGATATTAGTCTGACAATATCATTGAACAACAACAATACCTTGTTTCGGGAGAAAAAAATTATCAGGACAGTACTAAACATTCTTTTTAGTTATCATAAAAGCTTAAAGTGTATCCTTGGTTTGTTGGTCTCATTAGTATCCTGATGACATTATTATTTTGTTAATGTGAATCTTGATTCTCTTTAATTTTTTTTTTTGCCAGCTAGATCCCTGATTTGTCTAAGTACTTTTGAAATAATTACTTTTATTAGTCTTTTACCCCACCTCTCTCTGCATATCTATCTATCTATCTATCTATCTATCTATCTATCTAACAGAATCTGATAAATTTTGGAAAAAAAATAACACTTAAAAAATAATATGAAAAAAATAAATATCTAATGAAACATAACATAATTCAGGCCAAGAACAATTTTATGAAACTACCACATAAAAATTTAAAAAAGAACATTTATTTTCTGAAACAGAAGCAGCAATGCCTGAAATTTCTTGCATTAAGTTGCAATTTAATAGATTCATAGCAAATATATGCTTGTTAGTTTTCAAAAAATAAGTTTCCTAATGATTGGGCATAGACTTTTTAATATTTAGTAAATTTGTAAATATTTTGTAAATGTAGAAAATTTACAAAATATCATTGCAAAGCTTCAATTTCAATCCAAACTGAAAATTATATTTCCTGCAAGACAGTGTTTTTATGAATGTTCATTTCTATTACTTAGATAATTGTCTTCTTAGTCTTTTATTTTTGTAATAAATACTCAATTTCTAAATATTTTATCTTGTTATTTTATAAAACAGCTTATAGAGACACCAATAATTGATAATCTTCTAAAGTTTTAACCAGTGTAAAGATATGTATTTTTGGATATTTCAAAAAGCAAATGGTACAGATTTTTCTGTTTCAGACCAAAAAGAGGCCACTTCCACAACAAATACAATAGAATAATTCTTTTAAATTTACAATGATCATTTTGTCTTTTATGTCACTTATAGACAATGTGCCTGCCAAAAAGTGTGTCAAAAGGATGATTATTCCCTTAATACTGTTATAACTATATACACTTTTGACTCCTTCAGCAATGTTTATTGTTTTAAAAAGTGATGATTAGAATTTTAATAAAACTTCAAAAATTAGAGAGTGGATATTTTCTTCATTTTTGAGAATTGACAACAAATCTATTAAAGAAAACATTATTTATTTATTAAATTGAATAAAAACTTATTTTCATAGTTATTTATAAAATGGTATATACTAAATTGTAGTTGGTTCACATATTTTGATAATTTTGTAATATTTTATAAATTTTTGAATAAAAAGATTTCTTTTCAAATTTATTTCTTTATAATATGGTAAATAATAAATATTGTACATGGTTCACATATTTTTGTATTCTTGTAAATAAAAATTGCTGAGGGAGTCAAAAGTGTATATAGTAATAGTGATGTCAAGGCAATAACCATACTTTTGATACACCATTTTTTTGCAGGCGTGAAGGTTAAACTTTCTCACTAATCCTTGACCACTGACAATTTGTTTCATCTTGATTTTTAATATTCAGCATACAAACTGCCAAACTTGCTAAAACAAATTTTAAGTAAAATATTTGAACATTCAGAATTTAATCCTTAAATCTCCCATCTTCTTCATTACCATAACTATTTAGATTGTTAGCATGCAAAGTGACTGTGCTAAAATTTAGGCTTTAAATAATCCAAGAGGGTTGATAAGTTGTAAAAAAAGACAAATAAAAAACAGACAACACGAAATAACTGAAATAAAAACATGATAGAATAGTAAAAGTCAGTGGGTAGTGAGGAGAAATGCTAAAACTTTGTCTATATATCACATTAAAATACAATCAACACTAAAATGCGAGTGAAATTATCATTTCATTTTTTTCTTTACCATCCAAATTTGCTGTGTCACTATATATGTAATCATTAACATTAATGAAAATTTTGATGTATTTATTTAAAAATCTTACCCTAGATTTGACAGGTCACATGTGCTGCAGGTTAAAATAAAGCTCTCATTTCTCTGTTTATGTATCTGTTTAAAACAAATTCAATAAATAAGATCATTTTGACCTGAATGTGACGTAACAATTACCATCTGTCTAAAAAAGAGGTTTCAAATTCAACCATGATTTGCAACATTGGATTATAAAAATAAAATCCTTTATCTCACAGACAAAAATCTCTATAATCAATAATTATTTTTTAATATTCTTCTTTACTGTATAAATTCATTTACAAGGAATAAAGCTGAACTATGTAGATTCTAAATGTTTTTAAAGGGTATTTCTCAAGTAAAACTAATTTGAACCTCTATTTGAACAGCACTATCAAACTGGCCTCATGGATTGAAATTAAGATGTGAAAACAAGAACACTTAATAGAAGCTTATTTGACTACCTTTTCACTTACCTATTTGTCTACTTGTATAACACTTCCTGGATGTCTTTCTTTACTGAAACCACTGACTTATCACAAGTTGATTTATTCAAAATAAATTTGTAAGCAGCTATTATAGAGCAGGGTTTAGTACAGTAATCTTGCATGCCATTGTTAGTGAATTCATTCCTCACAAGCTACTGTTTTAAGACTAAGACATTAATTACTTGTTAGTACTTACAATGTCTATAGCACTTTTCATCTTTCCAATAAGAGGATTTTTTATGGAGTATATTGATTGCATTAAATTTATTGGTTCCAATTGCATAGGAATGATTACTGAAAACATCCTCTCTCCAAATTTATAGAAAAATCTGACAGATGCATGCAAGGATATTTTCCTAACCAATAAAAATGGAACATTTCTCAGTCACATCTGCCAAATTTTTTTTTTCTTGTCTTGAAGTCAGAATGCTACAATCATTTGACTGTATCCTGTTTGCATATGATATGAACACCATTCTTACTTTGTGAACTTTTTACTTTATTATCATTGCTTTGCCTAGTTTTGTCTTCCATATTGTTTGCTTAGTTTTGTCTTGCATATATATTGTTTGCTTAGTTTTGACTTGTATATATTGTTTGTTTAGTATTATTTTGACCTATTCTTTTTCTTTGGTTATTGTTTTATTGAGAACTTTGTCAATTCCATTTTGCTGATTATACTTAATCATGGCCAATTACTCTACAAAGTTGATTTAAAACAGATGGATTATACTATTACTTTACTATCCCAAAACCAATTAATGATTCTCTTGAATTATCTAAACCTTATCTATGTCATTCAATGATAACAGAGAAAATCCACTGTTAAACAAAATTTGAATCCACTTGTCACAGTCACTGGCAATCTCATGTTGCTTCTTTTTTTTTCAAGATTAAGGACATTGCAAAATGTAAGAATATAAGTAAAAGAGAAATTATTTGGAAATATCAGTTCCCTTTGAAAATTGGTATGAAATTTAAAAGCAAGATTATTTAGGCAAAAGTCACAAAATATAACAGATGATTTACATTCTCTCTTTGGAAAATGTTCCATTTCAAAAACAGTATGCCTCCCTGTATAGAAGAGAGAAGGAAGAAGCCATTTTAGTCAATGGAGCCATTGTCATATAAATCATCTTGTGGTGAACAATGGAAAAGTTGAAGAAATAAATCAAAACTAATAATAAGATATATATAATGATGAAAATACTTAATCTCAGAATGTGAGACAGGAAAATGTGACACAGAATTACAAAGATGCATTAGGATAACAAAAAGGAGCTTCAAAAAGCTAAGCAAAGTATTAAGCAACAGGAAAATTTTATTAGAAACAAAGAAAAGTGTTGGATTGCTATGTAATATCAATTCTCCTACATGTTAATGAATTCTGAACAAACTTCTTTCAAATGAAGATTGTCCTGGGTATGATGATAAACTACATCAAGCAGCAAGGCCTCCAATCAGGAGATTGGAGGTTTTGAGCAACAATACATTTTATAGCAGAATGACAATCAATGCAACACTAAAAAAATATAAAAATACATTTTTATAGTAAAATTACCAACACTATATTTTATGGTCTACAAACTATACCTCTAAAAAACATATCTT